TTTAAGGAAAATTCGTGTATATATGCATATGTTGTTTATATACGTCTTTATATTTAAATACATATCATCGATCCATTCAATAACAATTTTTTTTCCTTTTTATACATGGATCTTTTTATTCAACTTAATCTTAGCAAAATTATATATCTGTATATTCCAATGAAATAAAATACATATATATCGTGAAAAAAAATATAATTTATGTTTGTGGTATATTATAAATCATGTGTTTTTTTAGAAAAAATCATGTATATAGGCATATGTTAGTTATACACTTATTTATATTTAACTAGATTATTAATATGCCATTTATATTTTGCACTAATATAACATGCATATTTGTATAAATTATCTGTATATAAATAGTATATTTGACATATTTATTTTATTCTATATACATAATAATGGCATGTTAATATTTGAGATTAAATTTTATGTAAGGAATATGCTAGAAATATACTTTGAATATATCAATATAATAATGTGCTATGATGTATATATATATAAGTTATGTATGTGGTATAAATGCATATATATATATATATATATATATATATATATATATATATATATATATATTAAAATTCTCATTGTGCAGAGGGAATTATTTTTGAGATATTTTTCTTTCAAAATCTTTGATATATTTGGGTAAGAGTTATTTATGGAAGAGAAAAAAGAAATTATGGAATAGTGAGTAATGTAGAGGGATCCCTTAGTTAATGGAGTTATCAATGTGAAAGTGCTAAAAAAGTAAAAAAATGTGCTGTTTTTGAAATAAACAAAGCCTACTATCATTTATGAGAATAATTTTTAAAAATGAACCAAGCATACAAAAGTCTCTTTTTTTTTTTTTTTAGTACAACTCTTTAGAAAATTTGATACCGACTAAAATTTTGTAAAGAGTTCCTTTGTTGCAAATTCTGCTGATCACCATATAAAAAATTCTGATGATTGCCATGTTTTATGGCAAATTATGGTGATCACCATATTAAAAATTCTGAAGATTATCAGGAACACTTCCTGAAATTCTGATCGGAGATTATTTTTTCAGGTTTTTCTTACGGGGTAAAAATGTAAATGGCGATACCGAAAAAATCATATTTGTGCAAATCACTTGAGAAGTAGGTGGACTATTTATTTAATTTAGAAAGACAAAATATATAAAAAGTAAAACATACGATTATTCCCACTCGTGATAGACTCAAAAATACTATGTCATAATCAATTAAATCGAGCGGGCAATGTAAAAGTTAATTATATTATCAATGTATATAACTTAAAAATCATCTGATAAAAATTTTAACTCACACTCTATGAACATTGTGAATCTTTGAAGACGAATAAAAGTGAACAACTCTTTAATATTTCCTAGAAACAGAAGTAGCATTTCCCTCTTTCATTTTTCTATTTTATCGATTTTATTCTTCTTATGCTAAATGATGGTATCACTAGGTTTAGTTATCTTTCAAATGGTTAATTAATTAGTTGGATCATGAAAAAACAAGTAGCATTTTTGTTCATGCTTTTTTTTTTCCTGACATGTATAGTTAAGCATCTAGCTAATAGTTGAAATCGCCACTTAAATATTATATGTCTACAATGAAAATAAACAATAAATGGAGTAACGAATAATGTTTCCCAAGACTTCAAAGAAACAAACTAATAAAGTAACACATTGATGATGGAATAAAAACGCATGATCAATAATTCGATGTGAACATATTTGTTTATGTAAAACCTGATTACCTGTCTATCAAATTATATAAGAAGCACCTAACTCTTATATGTGAACGTATTTACTGACTAAAACTCTTACTTAGATTATCCTATGCTCAATGTTCTTGTTATTCTTCTCCTAACAACATTAGTTGGCTTATTGTGATTAAGAAATAATAAAGGAATTGGGAGACGTCATTGCCAAATGCCAACTAATTAGGGCTAGGTATATCGTCATAATCATTTAATTAATTTAAGAAACCCTATGTTCATTAATTCAATGTCAATGTGACAAGAAAATAGTGGCATTCATGGCTCTGGTGATGGTACCCACGAGCTAACATTTTTCTAGACATTTCATTTAATAAATTGCTTGTTCAACTCAATTAGTTGCAAGTTGCAACTATAAATTAATTATGGTGCAGAATAATTTTAGACCAAGTCAAGTAAATTGTACTCCTGTCGAGGGTTCTCTCTAGTTTCTAGCGACATGCTTCCTAGTTCCAATTAATATTTTCAGGCTATTAATTCTTTTTCTGCGTTCATTGTTTTTATGAATAGAAACTCTAATTGCACAATTATTTATAGCCAAAAGGAGAACAAATGACTGCTCTGCACATCTTTACTCTAATGGAAAATAAAGGCAAAGCATAATTAGGCTAATATATTAAATCACCTCAATTCTTTTGTTATAGATTTCACGAGAAATAGATAAGGTTTTATTTGACAGTTTTGGTCATGAGATCATTAAATTTTGAACTTGTGATACTATTTATATAAATTGAATTTAAATTATATTCACTAATATTATCATGATATTTTTTTTACACGATCAGTGTGATTGTCTGTTATAGTAGATTGCATACCACTTATTTTTTATTATTACATATAAATATCTTTTAAGGACATCATTGTGTATATTTTTTGTAATCATTTAATTTTCAGGTTTTGATACCTTAAAGTCTAAATAAACAATCTAAATTCTATCAGTCTTATTTAGGTTTAAAAAATGTTGGGCCATGGCCCATGGGCATACCAGTAGGACACTTCATTTTGTTAAAATAGCACGGGCTAGTCAATTTTCGGACTACTAATTAAAAAATAGCCAGCGTTTGTAAAGTCATTGAAAAATAACCACTATTTTGCTGCAACACGAAAAGTTCCACCATAATATACTGGAGATTTGAGCACCTGTGTATGGACTTCCAGCATATTATGTTGGAACTCTATCACACGGAAAGTTCCAGCATAATATACTGGAGATTGGAGCACTTGTGTATAGACTTCCAACATATTATGTTAGAACTCCAGCACATTATGAAATTCCAGCATGTTATGCTAGAAGTTCACATGTAAAAAATTCGAACTCCAGCATATTATGCTGGAATATTTTCCGAATTTTGAATAGTGTTTTCGTTTCAGATTTATTTTTTTTACATGAAAAATGGCTATATTTTAATTACTTTCGAAACTGTGGTTATTTTTCAATTACCACTTGTATATATAGCTATTTTGGATTTCTCCCCTTCATTTTTGAAGTGGAGGTTAGCGTCAGTAGTCTTGTGTGACAAGAAAGTGCCACTGTTGCTAGGTAAGTTTTATAGAGCAGTGGTTAGGCCTGCCATGTTGTACGGGACTGAGTGTTGGCCGGTTAAGAACTCACACATCCAGAAGATGAAAGTAGCAGAGATGAGGATGTTGAGCTGGATGTGCGGGCATACTAAGATGGATATGATTAGAAATGAAGATATTCGGGAGAACGTGGGCGTGCCCCCATGGAGGACAAGATGCGGGAAGCAAGACTCAGGTGGTTTGGGCACATTCAGAGGAGGAGCACTGATGCACCGGTGAGGAGTTGTGAGCGACTCGCTGTGGTGGGCACGAGGAGAGGTAGAGGGTGGCCCAAGAAGTATAGGGGAGAGATGATCAGGCAGGACATGGCGCGACTTAGGATTACTGAGGACATGGCCCTTGACAGGGTATTGTGGAGGTCGAGCATTAAGGTTGTAGGTTAGGAGGAAGTTGCGAATATTTCTACGGCGCTCCCGAGTAGGACTAGACAGTTAGGATTTAGTTTTAGGATGCTAGTGGTTATCTACTGATGCATGGCTTTATCTACCGATTTTTATTGTACTTGCCATCTATTTCGTATTTCCTATATTGCTGTTATTTATTATGACTCTATCGATGGTACTAATATCTCGTCTCTTGTCGTCTTATTGAGCCGAGGGTTTCCTGGAAATAGCCTCTCTGCATCTCGAGGTAGGGGTAAGGTCTGCGTACACATTACCCTTCCCAGATCACACTAATGAGATTACACTGGGTTGTTGTTGTTGTTGTATTTTCTATTTAACATCATCCAATCATCAATCATTATCCATTATCCTTCGATTCCCACTCGCAATCCTTTAAATTTTTTTTTTTTTTTTGGACAATATTCTCGTACAAAAATTAAAGAAAGCACTATGTTCATGCATCCTCCATTCCCGCACATTCATTTGTGGATCATTTGTTTCACAAACCGATTATACAAAAAATATGCAACGGATAATAATTATTTGTATGCGGTAAGTATAATGCATAAGACTGTTATGTGAATATTAGTAATGTACAATTTAATACATTCAGCAAAATGCCATATTTAGATATACAGAGCAGCAAATTTTTTTTTTTTTTTTTTTTTAATATAATCAAATGAGCCTTATATTAGCTATGTTGAAGTTTATGTTGAGAGCCAACCAAAACAAATTCTTATTCAATCTCGTCTAACAAAGAGTACATACATAATGTGGTCCTAACATAGATCATTTGCCTCTAACTTATTTAATGCGTCGATTACGTAATATTTGACTAAATACATCTAACCTTTAATTAATTAAAATTGGCACATTTGATCCTTTTAATTGTGAATATTCACAAATCATCAGAATTATTAATCGCTCTACCATTTAATTACTCATGTGTTATGTTAAGTTAGTATTGTTTATCCATATTTGTTGCAATATAATTTAAAAATAACATATTCTCCATATAAATGGGCCAATAATACACTTTTTAATTATTTAATATTTAAAGATGTTGAATCATATATTACGAGGATTAAAACAGAATTTATCAATAACTAAGGAACCAAAAGTGCTATTATTCCTTAATCTCCAATCAAGGAATCACGTCTTAGATCACGCGCTAATAATGAATTCATCCGACCAGCCCAACGGGTACGGGTCGGTTAAAACGGGTATTGTCGGAAAAGATGGCGCGCTGAAATATAACTTTCCTCTTTCAGCGGCTCTCCAATTTTAACGGATTTTTACATATACCCATTACCCATTTCTCTGTACAAAAACCAAACCTATTATTACACTGTAAACACACGTATGATTATCTATCACAAAGAATTAGTTTGTTGAGTTCGTTATATCTTCTTCAGGTAAAAGTAATTTAAATAAAACCCACCAAGACTCGATTTTTTCGTTTTTTTTCCCCAGAAAAAGGTGAGGTTTTGGAAGGAAATAGAAAAATAATAATAAGGACCCATTATTGTTAGTCCCCAAAATAGCCTGCAGCACCATTATTTTTGTATTATTTCTTCATTTTTGTTCTTTCTTGTTTACCTAAAAGGGTGGTGTTTGCAGGTGAGATTTCTTTGTAAAGTTGTGATCTTTATTGCGTGTGATATTTTGGTTAGATTCTTTTTATGTTTATATTGGTGGAGAATCTTGAATTCGAGTCTTTTTGTGTGTGCGACAATCCTCTTTATTGTGCGTAATATTTTCGTTAGAATATTTATGTTTATATTGGTGGAGAATCTTGAATTTGAGGGAATATGCAACATAACATTTTTACAACAATGCGTAGTTTGAAGATGATGGAAGGGTGTAAGGGAACGCAAGTATATGCCCTTAATCAGTCTATTGATGGTGGGGGTGGGGGTGTAGGTGAGAAGTTTTTACAAAACCTGTTGTCAAAAAATTCTATTAGGTCTAGATCCAATAGTAATTTTCAAGCTGTTCAATCAAAAGATGAGGTTAATTCGGTTGTTTTAGCTGAAGCTTTTGCCAGTTATGGCCTACCAAAAACGGATCAACTTGAGCCCCAGATTGAGTTTTGTCTCAAACCTATGAACTTTGTGGAGACATTAGGTGATGTGCATCGTAGGATGGAGGGTTGTGCTCAGTTTGATAAGTCAAGGATGTATCTTGAGCAATGTGCCATATTTAGGGGCTTACCGGATCCTAAATTGTTTAGGAGGTGCCTTATGTCAGCTAGGCTACACGCCGTTGATGTGCATTCCAAGGTTGTTCTTTCTGCCTGGTTGAGGTTTGAACGAAGGGAGGATGAGTTGATTGGTGTATCGGCCATGGATTGTTGTGGCCGAAGCATGGAATGCCCGGGCAGTGCTTTGGTGGCAGGTTATAATCCTGAATCAGCTACTGATCCTTGTATGTGTGACAGGGGTATGAGAAAAGATGAGGATACTGAAATTTACATGGATGAAGAATGCTCCACTTCATTGAGTCGTGGCGATGAGGAGGACGAGGATTTTGACATGTCATTTTGCATTGGAGATGATGAGATCAGGTGTAGGAGATTTAACATAGCATCACTTTCTAGGCCATTTGAAGCTATGCTGTATGGTAGCTTCATTGACTCGCGAAGGGAGAAAATAAATTTTTCAAAAAATGAGATCTCCGCAAAGGGGATGAAAGCTGCTGAGATGTTTAGCAGAACAAAAAGCGTGGACTCTTTCGACCCAGACATTGTCCTAGAGCTCCTGTCGTTAGCCAACAAGTTCTGTTGTGATGGGATGAAGTCTGTTTGTGATGCGTATTTAGCATCTTTGGTCTTTGACATGGATACTGCTATGTTGCTTTTTGAATATGGGCTGGAGGGGAATGCATATCTTCTAGTGGCAGCATGTTTACAGGTATTTTTAAGGGAACTTCCAAATTCAATGCACAATCCAAATGTGTCAAGGTTCTTCTGCAGTTCAGAAGGTAAAGACAGATTAGCTTACATAGGACATGCTTCCTTTTTGCTGTACTATTTTCTGAGCCAATCAGCTATGGAGGATGACTTGAAATCGAATACAACGGTTATGCTGTTAGAAAGGATGGGAGAATGTGCAAGTGAAGGCTGGCAGAAGCAACTAGCATTCCACCAATTAGGTTGTGTGATGCTTGAAAGAAAAGAGTACAAGGATGCACAGAAATGGTTTGAGGCAGCTGTTGAAGCTGGTCATGTTTATTCCTTAGTAGGAATTGCCAGATCCAAGTACAAGCGCGGGCATATGTACAAGGCATATAAATTGATGAACTCCCTCGTATCTGATTATACACCTTCTGGGTGGATGTATCAGGAGCGATCAATGTATTGTCAAGGAAAAGAAAAGACAATGGATTTGAGTACAGCTACTGAACTGGATCCAACTCTTTCCTATCCATACAAGTACAGAGCTGTTTCAATGGCAGAGGAGAATAGACTTGGTCGAGCTATTGCTGAGATTAACAGGATACTTGGCTTTAAGATATCTCCAGACTGCCTAGAGCTTCGTGCTTGGTTTTTAATTGTGTTGGAGGACTATGAAGGAGCTTTAAGGGATGTAAGGGCACTCTTGACTTTAAATCCCCGTTACATGATGTTCCATGGGAAGTTGCAAGGTGAACACTTGGTAGAGATTCTAAGTCATAATGTTCAGCCGTGCAGTCAGGCTGACTGCTGGATGCAACTATATGACCGATGGTCTTCTGTAGATGATATTGGCTCCTTAGCTGTTGTCCATCATATGTTAGCCAACGACCCAGGGAAGAGTCTCTTACGCTTTCGGCAATCTCTCCTGCTACTACGGTATGCATTTATTATTTACATGCATTTTAGTTTCTCTGTTGTTAACAATCATGTTTGGTCCAATTCATCTTTATGTGCTGTTCTATTTCTTTCAGCCACTTTAAAGAAATTGGAGCTCTAGGGGCTTAAAGCCATTGATAAACTGCATAATATCGATACTATCTAGTTTTCCTCAGTGAGATACTTTTGTCCAGGAAAATGGAAATCTATGAGTGATTGTATAACTTAGATGCTTAACTCCCTGTCTCATACTCGAGAAGCTGAATGTGAATACCTGGGAGGTGTATCGAGTAGTTTCTCTTTACGCTCCCTGGGACTGATTTGCACTTGTTTACAGATTAAACAGCCACAAGGCAGCAATGCGTAGTTTGAGAGAAGCACGAAACCAAGCAACCTCTGAGCATGAAAGGCTAGTCTATGAAGGATGGATATTATATGACACAGGTTATCGTGAAGAAGCAATTGCTAAAGCTGAAGAATCAATCTCAATCCAGAGATCATTTGAAGCCTTTTTCCTTAAAGCATATGTGTTATCAGAAACAAGTCCTGATTCTGAATCTTCATTGTATGTTATACAACTGCTTGAGGAAGCTCTTAGGTGCCCCTCAGACGGTCTTCGGAAAGGCCAGGTGAGTGTTCCTTTCAGTAAGATGCTAATGAGTAAGATACTAATGCATGAATTTGAGGATGAAGAGATTTACTTGAAAACTACAATGCACACTGCAGGCTCTCAGTAATCTTGCAAGTGTCTATGTAGATGTTGATAAGCTAGATAATGCAATTGATTGCTACACAAATGCCCTGAATATTAAGCATACACGAGCCCATCAGGGTCTGGCACGTGTTTACCATCTAAAAGATCAGAGGAAATTAGCATATGATGAGATGACAAAGTTGATTGAGAAGGCAAAATATAATGCATCTGCTTATGAGAAGCGCTCGGAATACTGTGATCGTGAAATGGCTAAAAGTGACCTTGGTATGGCAACAAAGTTAGATCCCCTCCGAACATACCCATACAGATACAGAGCAGCTGGTAAGTTACATTTGGCTTATTCTCATGCCATACTAGTTGAGTACAGAGTGATTGATTGTGTTTCCTCGGGTTCTGGTGAGGTTTAACCAAACTCCACGAGTCCTCTCCTTCAACATGCTTATAATGTCTGAAAGATCATCAAATGGTAAACCAAACATGTTTCGGCATCATGTATGCTCATGATTGCCATGGGCATTGTGTGATTGTTCTTTTGAATTTCACGTGAACTTTTCTTGTCCAAGAAAGTCTCAGGGCCCACAGGGTGGACATAAGTGGTGGTAACAGAAGTAAAATTAGTCTAGTAATTCAATGAATCATGATATTTCTACTTGTATTTCACGGTTCTAATGCTAGACCAATTTGGAAGAAGATTCTCGCTTGGAAAGAATGCTTTCCAATTGAAGGACTGGTAACTGCATCCAAGCATTCATAAAACTGTATAACAGCAGTTCGTAAATTATTGTCGTTTGAATGTATTGTGTAAAACTGCATAACAGCAGTCAGGATAAAAGTGACTCTGCACTTTAACTGATATATTATAGTATATTTGTGCAAAGAAAATGAGCTGAACCTCTATTCAGTTGTGCCCCTTAATTATCAAAAGCTGGGGTAAATTTTACTTACATAATGTCCTATACTTGCAATTCCCGAAGAATTGAGTAGTTACTCTCCTAAGGACACAACAATTATGACAACTATGCCTTGGGATCGGCGATATGAATCCTCACTCTTTCTTTAAGCTCAATTCATATCATCATCATGCTACTCTCCTTAGGACACACAGCATCAAATTCATCTGTCAGTTTCTTATCGGAGGAGCTATTAGCGGCTCTTTTGCTTGAATATCTAACTACAGTCTTAAATTGTCACCTTTTCTTTATTTTTTGTTGGGCAAATACATATGTAGCCCCTTAAAGTTGTCACGAAATTTCACCTAGACACTTCTACTGGAACTGTTACCTATTAGACACTTAAAGTATGTCAAAAATGTTCCTATTGAACACCTCATACATATGTGGCACAAGAAGTGATTCTCACTTTGAGCTAGGCGCGTGAAGTACTGAATATTTTTCTCTCTCTCTTCTCCTATTTCTTCTTTGACAAGATCATCTTCTTCCGTTCATGACTACTCTACTGGTACGAACAGAAATAATAGAGAAATAGACAACAAAAACAAATAATAAAAAGATAGAGAAAGATGAATTGTGACTTTTTATTCTTTTGCTTGAAGAAAGAAAAGATTAGAGAGGTGCTTCATTGACTTTCCATTATAATCATTTTGGTGCGGAAGATGGAGAAGAGCTACTTGATTCCTTTAGTTGTCCCCCACCATCTAGGTTTGCCGGGGACCACCAATTGGGTTCATGGTAGGAGGAGCCGTATTTAGGTTTGACTTCAGATCTTTTTGGTGGGAAATAATGCTATTTTGTTTATAATATTTGTTGAGGTACCATTGTAATTGTGACATCCGATTATCGATTTTTCTGGAAACTGATCGAAAAATATGAGGTTTCCGTTTGGTGACAAAGAAGATGACGTGGGGAAGGAGGTTCTAGTTTGGTAATATTCTAACAGTAGATCCAATGATTGACAAAGTTCTACACGAAGCTTGAATTGCCATAGAAACAGAGAAAAAAACTTTCAGACACTCCAAAAGGGAAAAAACGACAATTTTCTTTTTTCTAAAAGATTTTAGTGTTTCTCTAAGAAAATGAGAATACTAACACCAAAACATATAAACAAACTTGCTGGCTTCCAATGTGAGAGAAGAGTTGTTCATCCGGGGGAAAGCAGTAAAGGAAGAAGATGATGGTTAAAAAACTTATGGAAAATCTTTTCCTTTTTGGCCTTTTTTAAATTTCTGACATGTCTCTTATTTTTTTGCTGATTTGTAGTCTTTTAATTGGTTTGATTTGCCATGTCAAAAGAGACCCCAGAAAGTGGGATGCACGTACTTGTTTTGTTTTGGAGATATCAAATTTGTGTTCAATAGGAACATTTTGACATACTTTTAGTGTCTAATAGGTAACACTTTCAGTTGAAGTGTCCAAGTGAAATTTCATGACAACTTTAAGGGGCTACGTATGTATTTGGCCTTTTTTGTTTTTTGGGGCATCAGTATATAGGAATTGATGTTCCAACTATCATATCTATTTGGTTGGTGGAACAGGACCTTCATGCATCTCTGAGTTTTTTGGTATTCAATGGCCTTAAAAAAATGCAAAATCATCTGATCAAGCCTTTTTGAGAATGGAAAGAGCACCATGGAATTTTTTGTCACATTTCCTTGGTTAATTTGTCTGAGATTACGATAGTTGAACTCAGTCCCTCTCTTTTTTCATCTTGGCATTATTCTGCCCTTAGATTGTAAAATGTTTTCGACCACCTAGACTCTAGGCCATTCAGCTTATTGAACTGACCTAGAAGTGGTAGAGTAGTTTGTTGAACATGGATTAGTAGATAACATGAAAGATTTTGCTCAGACAAAGGCCCAACCCTATGCATTATGTGTGTCTTCCCCTCTCCCACTTTGTATCTCGCTTATTGCAGACCTTATGTCCTAATGTGTTTTAATAATTTACTATGCTACAAGTTTCTAACTGAGAAAGTAATTCTGGAATATCTTATCTTCAGTTCTGATGGATGACCATAAGGAAACCGAGGCTATAGCGGAGCTAACAAAGGCAATTTCTTTCAAGCCAGACTTACAAGTACTCCATCTTCGAGCAGCATTTCATGACTCAATGGGTGACCTCACATCTGCTATTCGAGATTGTGAGGCAGCTCTGTGTCTCGACTCCAGGCATGCAGATACGCTTGAGCTCTATCAGAAAGTACAGCAACGAGCTAAAGAACAACTACCAACGTGAAGAAGCAAGAATCCATATTGAGCTTCTTCTTCATGATTGTTATTTGGGAATTGGGAGCCAGTGCCTAAATTTTTTGTGGTACACACAGGTTCAACGCATACTATGTGCTCAGAGTTCTAAATTTTTTGTCATATAGATATTCAAACTAGATTTGCGGTTGCCATTATGCATGCTCAATTGCAACAAAGAACAAGAAATTAGAAATCAAAATCTCGAATGGAGAGAGCTACTGAGGAGAATGAGTGAATCAACTGTACATAAATTTTTTGGTCAACCATAGCGAAGTATTTGTGAATTTGATAGAGTAGGATACTTCAGATACTTTTTATTGTCTTTGTCCTACCGCAAAGACAGTTCTACAATGTATCTTTGAAACTGAAAAGGAATTTTTACATCAAAATTGCAGCTTGCAATGAATGTGTAAACTTTGTTGAGACAGTTCTTTGTGTGCTGAGAAACTGTTACTACTCAACGTACTTCAACTTCTGATTTTACTTGTAGGGTGTTTTTGGTATGAAGGAAAATTCTTTCCATGTAAAATGTTTTTCCAGAAAATGTTTTCATGGAAAATGAGTGGTTTTATCACTTATTTTCCCTTGTTTGGTTGGTTAGTGGAAAAAAAATTCGGAAAATATTTTTTAGTGTTTGGTTAGAGAGTAGAATTTTTTTTTAGGAAAATAATTTTTTATGCTACTCTCCTCGTCCCATTCCCCAAAGTCACATATTTCCTGTGCTCCCTCCCCCCCAAATACCTAACGTTTTCAGGACTCTATTTTTTTCCAGAATTTAATTGTTCTTCCAAAAATTAACACAAACCAAAAGGAACTAATGTGTTACTTTACTTTTTTACGCAAAAACAACGTTGAAATTTGTGCTCCATAACTAAAAAGAAAATATTCTTTTTTTTTGGTTGAAAAGAAAGTACTCTTTCTACAACATGAAAATAAAGTACTCATTTTGTTGAAATGAAAGAAAATACCTTTTCTACATCATAAAAAGAAAATACTCATTTTGTTGCAATAAAAGAAAATACTTTTTTCTAAATCACAAAAAGAAAATACTCTTTTTGTTGAAATGAAAGACAATACTTTTTACAACATCATTTTATTGAAATAAAAAAATACTTTTTCTATATCATGAAAAAAAAAATACTCTTTTTGTTAAAATGAAAAAATATCATAAAAAGAAACTATTCATTTCTTGAAATAAAATAAAAAAGTACTTTATCTATAACATGAAAAGAAAGTACTATTAATAATATTTCAAGTTAGGACGAGATGGGGTGGGGGTAGGGGTGAGGGTGGGGCAAGGGGTGGAGTTGGGGTGGGCGGGGGTGGGTTGATAGTGATGGGTAATAGGGTGGAGAAGGTTAAAAAAAAAATTGGAAAATATTTTTCCTTATCTTGATAGGGAAAATATTTTCCTTCGATTGGAGGAAAATAAGTTCATGAGGAAAATGAGTTCCAAAACATTAAAGCCAACCAAACATTAAAAAATTAAAAAATATTTTTTAAATATTTTTCGGAAAATATTTTCCTTCATACCAAACACACCTGTAGTGATGTAATGTTTTCCGTGGCAATAAGTTAGGAAAAGGATTCAGGTGAAACTTCAGACTATAAATCAGGGGCGGATTCATAAGGTAAAATGTGGGGCACGTGAACTCATGGTCTCTTCATAAAATTAAATATTTTATGTACATATTTCCTAAAATTGGTATAATATTAACTGTTGGCACACATGCTCTAAGAAGGTTGAATGATGCACTTGGTTAAAAGTTGAGTTATTTACCAAGAGGAAGAGGGATCAATTCCGACTAAATATATTTTTTTCTCTCTTTTTTAGTAGTGCACCCATGTACTAGAAATTCTAGATTCGCCCCTACTATAAATGTCTTAGGTCTCTTTTTCTTATTTTCATTACTTTCCATCTTTTCTTCTTTGTTCTCTCATGTTTCTCTTTTTCTTTTTTCTTTTTTCCAAGAGTGGATGTTCACCTTCTATGCAGTACAATTATAAATTTTAATGAGTTTAACTTTTACACATTGGCATACTAAAAGAGTGTGTATAAAATCAAATCATCAAGGAGATAATTGTACATAATTTGTAACGACCCGGCCGGTTGTTTTGAGTATTGCAGTCATGTTCCCTCATTTATTGCTTATTTTATGTTCATTTGTTGTTATGTGACTTGTCGGGGTGGTTGGTCTGATTTCGGGAATATTTCGGAATGAATTGGGGTACCTAGTCCCAAGGCTGGAAGCCTAAGTTGAAAGATTTGATCGGACGTTGACTTATGTGTAAATAATTCCGGAATGGAGTTTTGATGGTTCTGATAGCTTCATATGGTGATTTTGGACTTAGGAGTATGTCCGGATATTGATTTGGAGGTCCGTAGGTGATTTTGGCTTGAATTGACGAAAGTTGGAAAAGTTGAAGTTTGGAGAGTTGAGAAGTTTGACCGAGAGTTGACTTTGTGGTTACCAGACTTGTATTTTGATTCCGGAATTTGGAATAAGTCCGTTGTGTTATTTGTGTGCAAAATTTGAGCTCAATTGGAGTTGATTTGGTGTGTTTCGGCATTAGTTTTAGAAGTTGTAAGTTCAATAGTTCATTAGGCTTGAATTTGGGTGTGATTTGTGTTTTCGATGTAATTTGAGGGTTCGACTAAGTTTGTATGATGTTTTAGGATGTGTTGGTATGTTTAGATGGGGTCCCGGGAGCCTTGGGTGAGTTTCGGGTGATTGCGGATTGAGTTTGGCCTTGTGGAGCTGCAAATTTTCTGGTGTCTGGTTTCCTTATACGCGTTCACGAGAAAGGTCTCGCGTTCGCGAAGAGTATCTGGGTGGCAGGAGAAGGTGTTCTTTGCGTTCGTGAAGAAGGCCTCGCGTTCGCAAAGGTATCGTGTGTTTGTGCATTGCGATCGTGAGAGGGAACTCGCGTTCACGTAGAAAGATGGGGCAAGTAGGGCACCAGGCCTGTAAGCCTTCGCGTTCGCGGGAGTTGGTTTGCGTTCGCATAGGCTTGTGTTCATTGGTCATCGCGATCACGAGGGATGTCTTGCGTTTGCGTAGGAGGATTTTGGGCAGCTGAGGATTTTGTGCTTCGCGAACGCGAGACACTTTGCGCGTTCGCGAAGAAGGACATCTCGACAGCAGATATATAATTTCAGAATTGAGGGTTTGGGCCCATTTTTCATATTTTGGGCTAGTGACCTTGGTTTTGGGCGATGCTTGAAGGGATTTTTAAGCAGTTGACTGGGGTAAGTGATTCTAACTCGGATTTGGTTAATATACATCTATCTATCATTATTTTTACCATTTAATTAGTGTTTTGAGTTGGAAAAATTGGAAAAAATTGTAGAAACTTCATAAACTATATTTTTGAGGGTTTGAAAGGCAATTTGAGGTCAGAATTGGATGATTTTGGTATGGTTGGACTTGTTATTGAATTGGTGTTCGGATTTTGTAAATTTTGTCGGATTCCGAGACGTGAGCTCGGGGTTGACTTTTTGACTTTGGTTAAAGAACTTAGCTTTATTGTATGTAATCAATTCCTATACTTGTATTGATTGCATTAAGTTGTTTGTGTCTAGATTCGAGTCGTTCGGAGGCCGATTCGCGAGGCAAGGGCTTGCTAGAGTAGGGATTTGCGCGATTTGAGGTAAGTAACAGTTCTAAACTTGGTACTGAGGGCATAAATCCCTGAATTACGTGTTATGTAGTTGGTGTTGAGGTAACGCACATGCTAGGTGACGGGCGTGTGGGCATGCACCGTGGTAATTATGCCTTGGTTGATTCCGTGGTACTACGTAGTTATCCAATCTTGTTGTTATTCATGTAATCTCCATGTGTTAGAGAAATTGAGTTGTGATCCATGTTAGAAATCATGTTTAGACTATATACTAGTACTATTAGGACCCACCGAGGTCGTTTCTTGATAGGTTTTCAATATCTTTGCCTTGTGTTTTGATGATCTAACAAACTTAATGTAAAGAACCAGATAGAGAACTTGACTCACTTGGATTACACTACATCTAACGGATTCCAGCCAAATGTGAACTTGCTACAGCTTCAGGAGGTAGGAACCCAGACAAGGACCTGATACTCTTGTGAGTTCCTCACGGCAGTACAAAGTCAATTGGACACAGCTGGAAACGAAGATTCTGTCGCACTGCACTATTCCCAGCGCCCACTCATTCTCTAATCAACTAAAGTACAATGAGTTTATACAAAACATCATTCAAGTTACTCAACTCAAGACAATATGGGCAGTGTGCACAAGTACCAGATCAGGAACCTGATCCCTTGGTGCTCCCCTGACAAAAGTACAAGTCAACTATACAGCTGGAACACAACTGGAGAGAGTGATTGTCCGCAACTGTATAAAGAGGAACACAACAGGGACCTGGTCCCTTAGGGTTCTCTGACAGAAGTACAAGTCAACTATACAGCTGGAACGCAACTGAGTGACTGTCCGCAATTGTACAAAGAGGAACACAACAGGGACCTGGTCCCTTAGGGTTCTCTGACAGAAGTACAAGTCAACTACAGTTGGAAAGCAATTGCAGAAAGTGACTGCCTGCAACAGTGCAGCAGACAGTGCAGCAGTCACTTCTCATTGAGATTGGACATCACTAAAGATGTCTTGTGTAGTATAAACCTTATGCAAGGCATAAGATTCAGGTTCAACACTTGCAAATAAAAAAACGAAAATTCTCTCAAGTGCTCAAGAACCTCTCTCAAGAACAAAGCTGTTGCAACCTCAAGGACCTGATCCGAGATTGATGATATCTTAAGTCCTTAGGGTTGTTGAGTCTTTGTTATGTGTTCTTCATTGTAACTCCTATCCGGCTTTCTTAGAAGCGTTGATTAGGTTGAGTCATAAGCAAAAGCCTTTGTAACCGTAGTGTGACAAAGTGGCTTGTGGTGGAAACATCACAAGTTAGTCAAAGCCTTTGTAACCGTAGTGTGACAAAGTGGCTTGTGGTGGAAATACCACAAGTTAGTCATTGTAACTAGGATAGTTATAGAGTGGCTTGTGATGAGAGCATCACAAGTTAGTTGAAGTCTTTGCAATAGGGTTATTGTAAAGTGGCTTGTAATAGGGAGATTACAAGTTAGTGAAGTTAAAAGCCTACAAGTGTAGGTCGTGGTTTTTTGATCCCCTTGTGTGGGATTTTTCCATGTAAAAATCCTCGGCCTTATTTACATACAACTTTACTAGCATTCACAGCAGAACCCCACAAAGGACCAGGTACTCTGCTATTTGGTGGACTCACACAAACTTAGCGCTGTACCAAACTGATATAGGACCAGATACCTATACAGTTTGGTTCATCAGTATTTTCAGAGGAAACACGTAGAGAACCCGGTTCTATATACAATCTGGTGGACGCACAGGGTCTAACATTTCTGCTGCTGAGTTATTTGCTTACTCAGTCACATTCATCATTTGCATATCATATCTCAGTCTCTGTTATCATTTATTTTTAC